CAGATTATTTTCTAATTTTATGTACTTTTAATAATATATCTAAGGTATTACAAATGTGTCCATACCTCTGTGTAGGTGTCTTTGTCTAGAGTCTTTAAAAAAAAGTTTTACTTTAGTAAATGTTGTTCCTCAAAATTGACAAACAATTTCTGTAGCAATAGGAAGCTATTGGAAAGTAAAAGACCAAAAACAATAAAGAGCCAGTTCTGTATTTTAGAAAGACAATTGTTAATAATGTGGAAAATGGCAGGAGTGTAGTAAGAAGAAACAAATTAGGAAGGTCTGACAAGAGTTAATGCAAGATTCAGTGCACACCTGAATTAAGTAAAAGTGAAGAAGAGGGAATTCAGGAAAGAAGTGTGCTTGGAGCAACCTGGTTTCTCTAGAGGAATTTAATCAATGAAAATACTTGATCAGTTTGTCCTTTGTTCCTGCTTTGTCCTATATCATGAAGGAATTCTGTGAAGAGCATCAATAATTTAGAGAGACATTTGATCATACTCAGATATTCCCAACTGTAAGAAAAAATCCTATCTAGTTAATGACACCACTTATATGGCTTAGATCTGCAAGCCCCCATATATTGACACGTTTCTGAGAAAAATCAATGTTCATTACATGTAAGAATCCAATAGAGAAGTGCAGGTGGTGAACTGATGTGTTGTAATAGTGGTACTTGTTGATATAAGCTATGAACAAGATTTCCAAAGAGATATTGCTATGGCAGCATTAGTGAATTATAAACTAAAAGTGTAAGGCATATATATATGTGTGTAAATTCTCATACACACATATATTAATATTATATTCATATATATAAATATTGTACACACACACAAAGGGTAAGCTTTTCATCTATGGTAAATTTTAGCCAGGTGAGGCCCAGAGTCATCTTCTTATCCTCGAGACGGGGCAATTTGGAAGAACTAGGCTCTTATTATATAGGTATGTATTTAATGTTTCATTAAAACAGTTTGGAACAGAGGCTGAGTTCTGAAATATATTCCTCATCCTCAAGAGATTTGTAGGCTATAAAAAATAACTTTCATTCTAGCTTCCCAGCCAGACATTAATAATAATTTCATAGGATATTTATTCTCAGGTGATTATGTTTGTCTTATAAAATCAGCTACATCCTGCCATTTATTCACTAAGAATTATTCACTGTTTCATCTGCCCAGTTGGTAGAGAGTCATCTCCTACATTCTCTTCAGGGAAGGAAGGACTCTTGCCTTCCCTGGGGGCTGACCTCCGGTAGCTTCTAGCTGTCATTTCCTTCAGGTTCTTTTCAGTTCAGGCAGCCCTGCTTGAGGGCAGACCCAGGGATGGCAGTTTACATCCAGGGATGGCATCTGACAGAGCCAAAGGCAGCCCTTTCCAGCCACTGCAGGGTCTTCTATATACCGATTACTCTATGTTGCCCAAGGCTTTGATGGGCTGGCCTCAGAGTTTTATTATAAATTTATTTATTTTTATTTATTTTTTACATCATTGTTCATTTTTATTTTGTTTTAAGGATGTATTTATTTATGCATACAAGAACTGTGGTGTACACTAGAGATGTGGGGGGTGAGAGGATTCACCAGAGACAGAGTGGGGAGCAGAACAGGCAGATCTACTGAAAAACACTGCTGAGGGGAGCAGCGGGTGAGACAGGAGAGGTCTGCTGCGCTATGTGGGTCAGCTCCCTGGCCGGTGGGGGATCGAACTCTTGCTGCATTAGCTGGTGATAGCTTCATAGCACTATCTTTAACGCCTGCACCACCAGGGAGGCCCTATTGTTCATTTTTAAACAATATTTGCTCACCACCCCCTTCAGGTGTAGTCCCCATAGAATTTCCTTCATCAATGCACCCATGCACCATCACCACAGTGCCCTGTTCTTGCTCCTCCCTCCCTCTGATTTCCTCTCCCGCCTCCTCCCCTGCAGGATGTCTCTGGTTTATAATTGTTTTTGTTTTGTTGCTTTGTATTATTACTTTTTTACACAAATGCTTTATTTGGTTCTCCTGTATTCCTCCTATAAGTGAAACCATCCCTTATTTTTCTTTTTCCTTCTGGCTTATGTCACTGAGCATAATTCCTTCTAGCTCTATCCATGTTGCTGTGAATGGCATGAGTTTATCTTTTTTGATTGCTGAATAGTATTCCATTGTGTATATGGACCACATCTTCTTGATCCAGTCATCTATTTTGGCCATTTGGGTTGTTTCCAGGTTTTACCTATTATAAATAGGGCTGCAATAAACATAGGAGTACAGGTGTTCTTTTGAATCAATGTTTTTGTGCCCTTTGGGTAGACCCCTAGTAGTGGAATTGCCGGATCATACGGTAGCTCCATTTTTAGTAGATTGAGGAACCTCCACACAGCTTTCCATAGTGGTTGGGCCAGTTTGCACTCGCACCAGCAATGTAGGAGAGTTCTTTTTCACCACATCCTCACCAACATTTGTTGTTGCTAGTTGTTTTGATATGTGTCATTCTCACTGGTGTAAGGTGGTATCTCAGTGTGGTTTTGGTTTGCATTTCCCTGATGATGAGAGATGTTGAACATTTTTTCATATGCCTGTTGGTCATTTATATTTCCTCTTTGGAGAAATCTCTTTTATGTTCTTCTGCCCATTTCTTTTTTTAATTTCTTTTTTTTTAATTTTATACATTTTTTACACCAGTTTTCATTTTTACACAATGTGTGCATCTTCATCTTGGTTATAGTCCCCATACAATTCCTACCCCCCTTGTTTAAATCCTACTCCCTCCTCCCCCTGACCCTCATAGTATGTCTCTGGTTTACAATTGCTTGTTGATTTTGATTTTTACTTTATTATAATTAGCGTGTTTCTTGACTGGATTACTTACTATGTTTTTGTTGAGTCCTGTGAGTTCTTTGTATATCTTTGTGATCAGTCCCTCATCAGTAGTATGGAGTACAAATTTTTTTTCCCAATCAGTGGGATGTGTCTTTGTTTTGGTTAATGTCTCTTTTGCTGTACAGAAGCTTTTCAGTTTGATGTAATCCCAGGTGTTTATCTTTTCCTTGACTTTCTCTGCTTTGGATGATGAGTCTTTAAAGATATTACAGAGATGTATGTCTTGTAGTGTTTTACCTATATTTTCTTCTATATATTTTATGGTTTCAGGTTTTATGTCCAGTTCTTTTATCCATTTTGAGTTGATTTTTGTGCACAGTGAGAGGTAGTGGTTTAGTTTCATTCTTTTGCATATGGAGTGGCCACAGAGTTTGATCTCACTCTTTGCCCCATCATCCTGCCATCTATTCTTCTCCTTAGGTAAATATCCTTTCCACCCAACCCTGCTCAGCTTTGTTTTTTAGGATTGCAATCTGCAACACTATCAAAAACCAGAAATACAAAATGGTTATGAAAGGGGGAAAAAAGATGATTTCTCCTTAGCTTTGGGTCTTCTGTATATAATGTAATGGGGATGTAGATTCCCTTTTTAATGTCTCTATCTTCCTCTCAGATGTTTATTTCTTTAAAGCTACACAATTTAGTATCACTTCCATTGCCCCTGCAGCTCCAGGGGCAAATTCAAAAGTGATATTTCAGACCCTGTTGCTATTGTTATAACTCCTTCTTCCAATGAATCGGAATAATGAGAGGTGGGTACATCCTCTGTGACAGTCAGGCTGGCTGTGCTGGTACATGGGGTATTATCTTCTTTGACATTCTTGTAAGGAAAAGATCAAAGGTAGCTCAGATCTTCATCTAAAACCATAGATTATGAGTCAGCCAGGGTTGGCCCAACTCAAATATCTGGTACATGTTAGTCATCTGGTGAGTCAGTGTTCTCATTGGGGGCAGAGTTAATCAGTTGGGGTTCCTTGTTCATTGCGTCCAACATTCTGGCTCTCTTTCATGGAGGGATATGTATGATTAAATATGCATTCTTTTGGCCTCTTTAGTTTTGCTTGTACATCATGATGCTTCTCTTCCCACTGCTGCAAGATAAAGATATTTCTTGCAGTGACAATCAAGAGATATGGCTCTGTCTATCTAAACCTGAGAACACAGCATCAAGGGAGTGTCTGACTCTGATGTTTAAGAGGTCAGATAGCTATTTAACTGGGGCAAGAGAGAAATAGGGAGATGAAGTGGTTCACCATAGATTACAAACCAAGTCAGTGGCAAAGCTTGGACTAGATTCCAAATGTAGTGGTGAACAGTTCAATTTTCTTTTCTTTTAAAAACTGCTTAAAACATATCAATAATAATAATACATATGTTTAAACACACAAGGTAACGAAAAAGACTATCTTGGCTACTCTTTTTTGTGATTGAATCTAATGTGACATTTTTCCCTGGACGCTTGCTTCATGGAACTAGAGTAAGAACAGAATATGTTAAAAATGTCATATTATGCCTGCTTAGCTTTTTATGGTAACTGTGCTTAAAGATGTTTTACCATTCGGGGACCTCCCTGGTGGTGCAAGGGGTTAAGTCTCAGCACTGTGAAGCTATAGGCAGCCATCACAGCATAAGATCTGTCCCCAGCCAGGGATATGACCCATATGGCACAGTAGGCCTCTCCTGTTCCTCCTGCTGCTCCCCTCAGCAGTGTATTCCAGTCAGTCTGCCTGTTCTGTACCCCATGTTGTCTCTGGTGAATCCTGTCACCACTGCCCCCTACACCTCTGGCCTGCACCCCAGCTCTTGTATGCAGAAATAAATCTTTTTTTCAAAAACAGAGCTCAATTAAGCGACTGAAGAATCATCGACTCTATAGAGGACAGAGGATAATGGTCCTTCAGAAGCCATTTGTGGGCAGATTCTGCCATTCTCATTGTGTAATAGCTTGTTTATCTCCGTAATACCAGTTACTACAATTAGAATTATTCACATTCAGTAACATCTCTTAAATATCTTTTTCGTAATGTTGAAGGAGCATGCTAAATATCAAGGAAACAGCAAGGAATCAGAAGCTGGTCCATTAGTGCTCACAGTCGAATTCCACCACTTATTCTCAGCCTTGGACATATTACTCCTCTGTGTCAGGTCCTTCTATATAAAATAATAAGAAAAACACATTATCCATAGAGATATTGTGAGATTTAAATGAGTTGATGTTTATAAAGTCCCTAGGACAGTGCTAGGCAAATACTATTTTGTAACTATAAAATGAATGAAAATAAAATATTCCTTTTCTATCAGTAATAGGAAAAGGAAACATATCTGCCTTTAAATTGCTATTGCATGCATGGAATAAAACCAAGTAAAATATTATTGTGTCCTGTGTCATCCACCCTGGTGTAGAACCATAATTCCTAAGCCATATGCTCTATAAATTTGGAAAGTGAAGGAGATGGAATAGAAGAACCCAGAAAATTGCTGAAAATGATGCAAAGATACTAAAGGACTCTGATGGTAAAGCGAGGATATCTCTTTGCTCCATTACAAAAACAAAACAAAAAAACCCCAAAAAACAAAAAACAAAAAAAAAAAGCCTAGGATATCTCTCTGTGCCTGGAGAGCTCAAGTGGTTACATTTCGGGAAGGATGGAATTGACTTAGGTAAGCACATCGTATCTATTCTTCCTTCATCAAACTCCAATTTCATTGTAACATCTTATAACTGGGTTATTAAAAGTCCTATCAAACTGATGATAATAACTATGATACACACATCTATAAAAAGTTGTCTCAGAAAAGCATAAGAAAACTGCTCTGATTTCTAACCAAGATCCGGGACAGAGAATCAGAAGGGTTTTAAGAAAGATCAATGAGCCACTTCTGTCATCTACCTAAGCTGGGTCCTCCACAAAATATCCCCAAGCAAATAATTCATCTTGAGTTGATCCTACCTCAAACTTGAATGTGTTCTCTGTTAAAAATGTTGTTTTGCTTACTTGTAGGGATGGTAGGGAAAATCACTCCCTGAAATCTAAAGCCTAAAAAAGTCAGAGATTGGGCCTCCCCAGTGGTGCAGTGGTTGAGCACTGGGTTGCAAAGCTGCCAGAAGCTCCTGCAGCGCCGTTCCATTCCTGGCTGCTCCCTGGCCACCAGAGGAGGGTCCCACATGGCGCGGAGACCTCTCCTGCCGCCCGCTGCTCCCCTCAGCAGTGTACCTCAGTCCTTCTGCCTGCTCTGCTCCCCACTCTGGCTCTGGTGAATTCTCTCACCCTCCCGTGCTTCTGACTGTACCCAGTGCTTATATAAATAAATAAATAAATCTTAAAAAAAAAAATAAAATAAATAAAAATAAAAAGTCAGAGACAGCACCAGGGGAAGACCCAAACCCTTGTCTGTCTTATTTACAACTGGGTCTGCATTTTTTCTTGTTTGTGACTCAGTTGGCTTTATCTGTTTAGCCTTCAACTTAAAACTGTAAATTTACATATAACTGACTGTGATATCCAAACACATGCTGTGTTATTGCTGAAGAAATCAGCTCTTCACTATAACAGGCCTGCAAGAAGGCAAATTCCAAATTTAGTTCCAGCAATTAACCAAGGATTTCTATGGTCACACAAATTTCCATGCTCACTTACTCACAAATACTCTGATAGGTCTTTGAAATAAAAACTTATTTCTGTAGAAAAGGGAAGAGTCATCTAGTAAAGGACCTGAGACTGTGTCTAGTCCAGAGGATGGAGTTTTTAGTCTTAGTGGTTTCACTAATTGTTCCTGCAAATTAACAGGAATTATTGTGAGACGTGACTGAATTTCACTTCCTTCAATCATCAAGAAGGGAAGATTGAACTCGATCATCCTGAAGGACATTTTCTAGGTTTTGCCTTTAATGACAATAAAGCAAGCTGATGAATTATGTGGTTAAAACATACATAGAAGTTCAACTCCATTTGCGAATGACCTAGAACTGTTAGGGGGAACGGATGTCCTGAGCAAACTCCATACCGGTTTTGTGGGCTCCACCCCCCACTCCAGACCAAAGCCATCAAGACACCAGGAACTACAAATCCCATCATCACTGAAGGGAGGGTTGCTGGGATCTTAGGGTGGAGATAAGCAGCCAGGTCTGGTATAAAAACAGACATGTGGGCTTGGGGGTCTCCTGGCTTTTTGCCAGCTCTCAGGGTGGCATTGGGATTCCAGGTCAGCAGAACTGGTAGGACACGTTCACGAATACATCTCCCTCTCTTTGTCCCTGAGTTATTCATTTCTTCATTCCCCCTTCTTTTGTAAATAAACCCTTTATTAACCTTTTTGTGTGTGCCTGCAGTATTATTTTGTGTGTGCCTGCAGTAACCTTTTGTGTGTGCTCGAGTATTATTGCAAGTCCCTTTTAAGCATGTAGGTGAGGATCCACAGTCAGGCAACCCATTTCATATCAGGGTTGTCCTGTAACAGAACTTTTAGTAAAAACACAGACAGAAGTAAACAGACTGAGGGAGGGAAAGGCAAATGGGAATGAGATATTCTCATTTGGAAACCATCAGGGACAGGACTTGATGGAGATTCTTCTATCCTGGAAGGATTTTGCCAGAACATTTACCTCTTCTCACCACAGACATGGGAGAAAGGCGCTGGTTCCTCTACTTAATACATCACAGGCATCGTCACTGGAGAAGACAGACTCACTGCACAGTCTGTCACGTCTCAAAGCAGAAGCAGCTGCCTAGAGGTCAGACACTGTATTCTGAAACAAATGCAAAGTCCAAGCACAAAAAAAATAGAAACAAAACAGAATCCCCAATTTCATCAAAAGGCAGCGAGCCCCTCTCCCCCATGAAGAAGAGTGCATGCTGAAGTCTTCTGGAAACCCTTCTGAACAAACAGAAGTACGTGTGAGCATTCTAGGGCAGAGCTGTGCAGCCACAGAGGAATGCGGTGGCGATGTAAATTACAGAGAGATGAGTAGCTTCTCATCCCCTGCCCTCGCCCACAGATGTCTGTGGGATGGATGCGGAGTCACTGCCAGCCACCGAGGCTGCAGCTCTGACACCCTGTAATCGTTTGCTAGATTCATAACCTACCTCTTTATCCACCAAGCCTCCTCTCAGGGCTGCTTCCCTGTTCAGATTTCACTTGCAAAAAAAGCTAAGTCACATCGCAATCCATTTTGCCTTGACAATTTCACAATATCCTTTGAGATCACAATAACCCCAAGGATACTTTGCAACTGGGGCTGGGAATCTCTTGCCTAAGTCAAAACTTTATAAAAGAAAGTGGGTGAAAGTGGGGGGAACTGACCTTACCTAAAACAACTGAGTTGACGTTAGTGGTCAGTCATTAAATTTCAAAGTGACCAGTGATCGTGTAAGAATTTACCCAAGTCATCATTCTTAATGTTCCTAGTTTCTGCTGGTATTTTTCTAAGCAGCAGACTTGCTTGCCTGAAAAACACATGATGCTATTCTGTGTGTTTTCCCTGGGACATGTCTTCTCTATGCCATCCTGACTCATCGTGTTAATTTAAAATAACAGAAATAAGCAAATACATGACTCAATACATGTGATGAATAAGGAGAAAAGGATATTTGGCTAGTCAACTCAGCCTTACATTTTAATTAAAAAGTGTGTCTCACCCACCATCAATAAGTTTTCAAGTGACTTGTCATGACCAGTTCTAATTGCAAGCATGTCATTCACTCTTTCATAATAAATTGGCAGATTATGCTAATATAAGAAAGGGAAGCTATCAATTTTATGTGTGCCAGACAAGCTATGCCACTGATTTCATAATTTATGATAGGCGCTTGGAAGAAGATGGCTAAGGACAGGGTTTCACAAACAGAATAAAATGTTACAGGAGAATAATCAATTCGATGTAGTTGACAAATAGGTGGAGAAAGATATTGAAAAATATTACGCTTTCCTAATGGTGGTGCAACACTCATAGATTCAGTGTCACTTTTTATCTGTATTAATTCTGCAACAGAAGGGTCTCTGATAATAGCAGACACATGCCAATTATTAAGATTAGGAAAGCGATCTTTTTAAGTGTTTAACTAAGAGTCATAAAGATTCAATTGATTGGGAGTCAAATTATCTTGATTCAAGAGATAAAGAAAACAACATAAAATAAGGTAATATTAATTGTACCAATAAAGTTTTCAATTGTACCAATACAGGGTAGAATATGGAGAGGCCAGACTAAGAACCCTAGAAAGACAAGCTTAAAAGCCACCTCTGGAAAACAGGCTATAGAACAGAAGCGACCAAAGCAGGAAGGAGGAGGAGATGCAAATAGAGAAGAAAGCACAATGGAATGTGGAGTGGGGGGACTTGGTGGTGGGTACCCATGGTACAATAGGTGATGGGGTTAACATAAGTAAAACAAATAAATTATTATTTTAAAAAGATTAAAATAAAATAAATAAAAATCACAATGTAACTTCATATATTTTGTTCCTATGTGGTCCCCTTAGGTGGAAATATCATCTAGGTTATTTCCTATTCTTATACACAATGAGAGTTTGCAATGAATTAAGAATGTGGGGGCTCATAGGAAAACCTGGGGTAATTTAGGGTTGCATAGGCAACAAGATCATAGCTTACTAAGCACACAGTTAAGTGCATATTGTCTTACACTTACATCCAAATAAAGTTGCTTGTCTTCAGTTGAAAGATGATATTTTTGTCCTGAAGCCCAATTTGAAAACTTCATTCATAAAACTGGAAAAATAAAGCATATTTATGATACATTATTTATGAGCAGGAATGAAAATCATCAATTTGTCTGTAAGTATTTCTCATCAATATGAAAACAAAACCTTATAGCAAACCAGGAAAAGTGAATTAAATATTTAAACCTTATACTTGCATTTAACAATTTTTTTTTCTTTTAATCACTTTATTTTTTTTTAAATATTAAATTTTATTTTTATATTCCCCCATACAATTGCAAACGCCCCATTCTGACCCCAATCCTTCCCCTCCCGCCCCCCACCCCCCAAAAAGTGTCTCTGGTTCATAGTTTTTTGTTGATTTTGATTTTCACTTTCTTATATTCATTTTCCTGGTCCCTTATTTAAGTTTTCTAGATTCCTGCTATGAGTGAGACCATCCAGTATTTTTCTTTTTCTTTTTGGCTTATTTCGCTGAGCATGATCCCTTCCAGTGCCATCCATGTTGCTGCAAATTGCATGTGTTTATCTTTTTTGAATGCTGAGTAATATTCCATGGTATATATGTACCACATCTTCTTGATCCAGTCATCTATTTTTGGGCATTTGGGTTGTTTCCAAAGCTTATCTATTGTAAACAGTGCTGCTATAAACATAGGAGTGCAGGTGCTCTTTGGAATTGATGTTTCTGTGTCCTTTGGGTAAATACCTAGGAGTGGAATTGCTGGATCATATGGAAGCTCTATGTTTAGTAGGTCCAGAAATCTCCACGCAGCTCTCCATAGTGGTTGGACCAGTTTGCACTCCCACCAACAGTGCACAAGAGTTCCTTTTTCTCCACATCCTCGCCAACATTTGTTGTTGCTAGTTTTTTTAATATGTGCCATTCTCACTGGTGTGAGATGGTATCTCATGGTAGTTTTGATTTGCATTTCCCTGATTACAAGTGATGTTGAACATTTTTTCATATGTCTGTTGGCCATTTGCATTTCCTCTTCAGAGAAGTTTCTTTTTAGCTCTTCTGCCCATTTTTTGACTGGATTATTTTCTTTGTTGTTGCTGAGTCTCATCAGCTCTTTGCAGATTTTTGTGATCAGTCCTTTATCATTAGTGTTGGGTGCAAAAAATAAGATAAAAATTGTTAATATATTTTGGATTAAGAAACAAAACGAAAGAGCACCAAAATATATTAACAATTTTTATCTTATTGGAGTAAAAGCATGCACACACATGTGGACACACACATGCATACATACATGCACAAACAAACATGTTCACAAGACCCAAAATATAACAAATCATCAATTATATCTGTAAATTTCTGGTGGTATTATCTGATGTTTATCATTTGATAAAAACTTGTTTTGTGACCTTAACTGTTTTTTGTACAAAATTGTGATACAGCTTATACCATTCCAACATAGACAAAAGGTAAATTTATTTACTATATATGGCCTTACTTGGATAATTTCAAGAACATTAAAGGTGATTTGCTTCCATTGTTAGATCTCATTTAATAATGAACTGCTAAGATTTTACATGCTATGAAATAACCCCTTAATGAAGTTTTTTAAAAAATAAATATAATCCCTAGGAAATTTTGAAATAGCAAGTAGTTGTTATTTTTCAAGTAAAAATTATATTTCAGGGCCTCCCCTGGTGGCGCAGAGGTTGAGCGCTGGGCTGCAAAGCTGCCGCAGCCTCTGTAGCACCAGTTCGATCCCCAGCCACCGGCGAGGGTCCCACATGGCGCGCAGACCCCTCCTGCCGCCCGCTGCTCCCCTCAGCAGTGTACTTCGGTCCTTCTGCCTGTTCTGCTCCCTGCTCTGGCTCTGGTGAATCCTCTCACCCTCCCACACTTCTGACTGTACCCAGTGCTTGTATGAATCAATAAATAAATCTTTAAAATATATATATATATATATTTCAATATACTCTAAAATAAGAATATTTGGAAGGCTTTCCAACTTTCTTGAGAAAACTTTTCTTGAATATTTGTGAAACTTGGAAGTCAAAAATTTTAGATCTTCACATGTTGCAGGGTATTATTTCTTTCTCACTGCAGTTTTAACCTCTCTATAACCCCTTAAACAATTAATTTCAGATTTGAAATATTTGCTTCACATATACAAACCAATGAAATTCAGTTGATAGATAAAGACTAGTGGAATTGCTCCATTAATTCTTAAGCTGATTTTCTCTTCCTAGTTAGGAATTGAGCGCAAGTTAACAATATGTTATTTGTAACAGTTAGCAAGTAGATTCATATCCTCAATAACCACCTCTTATTGCTTTCACCTGTTTCCTTGTGGGCATATGTGTGATTCTGGATCAAAGGAATTTTTAAGTGTTTTATAAAAACATTTTTCCTATTCATAGTCCATCAAAATGTATTCTGCCAGCATCCTATGTTGTGTCTTGTGTTTTGAAGATTCTAACCATCCCTTCCAGATGCATCTAGACTCTGATTACTTTTTTAATCTGAGCAAGTAATATTACTAACTGGTTAGAGACAGGATCCTTTCAAAAATATGTGGCATTAACATAATTCTACAGTGCAAAAGTACAAAGAATACTAAAAGAACAAGGGCGGAAGGGGAACAGCCACATTTGCTGGAGGGCTTACATTCTGTTGAACTTTGATGGAAGGAATCCAACATGGAATTAAATCCAAATGTTTCCTGCTTTCTTCCGTCTTAATAGCTTCATATTTCCTTCATTTCATGTCTTCCACAGTGTTCACATTTAAAATTGTCATCTTCGAAAGCATTGAACATATTTATGGCATGCCTGTTTCCTGATACTTATTCCTGTCTATCATGTCATGGTCGTTACTAGACAACAAGAGATATTTTGGATTTATGTATAATAGAGAAATTTAAATTAGGGAGGAAATGAGACCGTCTTATGCCAACATCAAAATAAATCTTGTTTCTTCCTCTAAGAGATATGGCAATATTTGTAGTCATTTTCCCTACCTTCATAATAGTTACCTATTAAATTGCAGAAACAAACCAAGAAAAAATTCATATTATAATGAAATGCTAATTAAGACAAGAAAACACAGGATAAATATTATGAAGAAAATATTAGAACTAGGATGATAATTCATGTATAAAGCCTAGTTCTGTGGCTAGGAGTCATATCAAACATTTCACTTATATCTTTAGGTCTTCCATAGTATGATGAGACAGGCACACTTAGGCTACCCAGGTTACTGATGTTAAGTAACTGGCTTAGGTCATACAGCTAATAAGTCTAGAACCAGAATTTAAAAGCAATTGGAGGGCTTCCCTGGTGGCACAAAAGGTTAAGCCACTGCAGCACGAATTTGAGCCATGGCCAGGGAGCTACCCACATGGCACAGCAGACCTCTCCTGTCTCCCGCTGCTCCCCTCAGCAGTGTATTTCAGTCAATCTGCCTGTTCTGCTCCCCACTCTGTCTCTGGTGAATCCTCTCAACCCACTGCTCCCACACCTCTGGCCTGTACCCCAGCTCTTGTAAGCATAAATAAATAAATCTCTTAAAAAAGCAATTGTATTTCAAAAATCACATTTTTCTTTTTTCTTTTGAGTCATCTCTGCAAAAGTTATTCCTCAGTATTGTTGCAAATGAATAAGATGAAGGCGAAGGAAAAGAAATAGATGGAGGAAGAGGAAAAAAGGAAGTGGGCATGATACAGCATTTGCCACCAACTGTTTACAGTGTCTTCTCATTATTGGAATCAACAAGAAAGACATTGTCTGGTTGCATCATTATTATTTTGAAAACCTAGCTTCCTAGCATGTTTCTGTACAAAGAGAAGAAAAGAGAGAAAGGGAACAAGGGAAGAGGAGAGAGGTGGGAGAGGAGATGAAGAAAGCAAGAGAAAAAAGAATAGCAAGGGCGTCCCCAGTGGTGCAGCAGGTTGAATGCAGTACAGCACTGTGAAGCTGTCTGCAGCCTCTGCAGTGCGGGTTCAATTCCCGCCTGGCCAGGGACCCATACGGCGTGGCAGACCTCTCCTGTCTCGCTCACTGCTCCCCTCAGCAGTGCTTTTGGTCTGTCTGCCTGTTCTTCTCCCCACTCTGTCTCTGATGAATCCTCTCACCCTCCCATGCCTCTGGCCTGTACCCTGGTTCTTGTATAAATAAATAAATCATTAAAAAATATTATATAAAAAAGAGCAGAACAGAAAGAAAGAAGTGAATTGATCACCTAAATCAACACATCTCCCTAAGTCGTACATTAGCACAGGAAGTTTAAGCCTCAGCACATTTCTGTCACTGTGCTGTAGAGACACTTAATTGACTCTTCTCTCTCAAATTCAAATGTCAGTGTGATGGCTAACTCATGTGAACAGGCTTTGTTTCCCAGGGATGAGCCAGCCAAGCAATCAAACTAAAGTAAAAAAGCGTCATGATGCTCGTTTGTGGTACTTTAAATAGTGCCAACTGTTACAACAGATGAATTACACAGTTGTGAGAACACAGAAGCGACTGAGCGGGTACTTTATTCTTATTTTATTTCTGTTCAAGGACTACACTGCCTTCATCTGAGTCCCCTCCTCTGGGCACATTTTGTCAACTCAACAACTTCTTCTCGACCTTTCAAGGAACCAGAAGGGATTGAGTTACCTCTGAAGTAGCCATTACTTCCATACCTACCTTTTTAATAATGGAGTTCTCTTGGTTTGGATAATGCCTGGTGTAGGAAACAAGGGATCATCCTGTCAAAGTTAAGTCCTAATCCCAGACAGGTAAAACGGCTAGAAACCAAGTTCCACAAAATGAATCTATGTTTTCGGACTAAAATATCTGTTATAGGTCAGCCATTGTTCAGGGGAATATGTTGAGACCTCAGAACATATATTCTATGACATTTTTATAATAGTGTGTATATTCACATATTTTTATGAAACTACATCAAATAAATATGTGGGAACAATAGAGACTTTCTTTTACAGGGAAATGATACATTTCTCTGACATCAGAAGATTATTCATCAAAAAGAACTTAGTCATTTGCTAAATTATTATAAAGGGAAACTATAGAAATGTCC